CTTACACACTCCCCAGGAAAAAGAAAGATTAAAACATGTGAGTTCATTAGTCACTAAGCCATGCTCATGCATGCCCAGTGAGCTTTCAATTAGCTTTGGAACTTTTAAGTATGAAAGAACTGGTACAGTTTACAGTGATCTTAAGAAAATCTCCAAGAAAGAGAGACCAAAAACAAAACAACAACAAAAAAAACGCAAATCAGAAAAAAAGTTAGAGAAAAATAACAATGCGAGGAATAAAGAACATGTCAAAGAAACTATAATATTCCTGAAAAGATAACAGAAGATACTACACCCATGAAAAAGGAACAAGATGCTATAATATAGAAACAAAAACAAGAGCTCATAAAAAATACACATCAGGGGGCCTCCCTGGTGGTGCAAGAGGTTAAGTCTCAGCACTATGTAGCTATCTGCAGCCACTACAGCACAAGTTCAATCCCTAGCCAGGACAGAGATGGAACCCACATGGCCCAGCAGACCTCCTCTGTCTTGCCTGCTGCTCCTCTCAGCTGTGTATTTCAGTCAATCCGCCTGTTTAGTTCTCCATTCTGTCTCTGGTTAATCCTCTCAAATCCTGCACCTCTAAAAAAATACACATCAGATCATTAAATAGTACAAGTAATATTGTATGTTTCAATTATATTTCAATTGTTTTAAAGCTAAAATGTTAAAATTCAGTGGGAGGGCTGAAATCTTCCACATAGAACAAAAGACAGCTATGGAGATCAAATTTCTCACTATCAGCACTGGAAGCCAGGCAATAAAGGAACACCTCCAAACTTTAGAAGGAAAATGATTTCCAATATAGAAATCTCCCAAAGCCAAACAGTCAAGAGTGAGGGTAAAAAATAAAATTAAAAATATGTATACTTCCAATATACTCTTTCACAGCACTGGTGTAGGAAACCAAAAGGAAGGAATAAACAAAAAGACAAGACAGAAAAAAGGGAATCAACAAAAGTAAAAGAAATCCCCAGAATGTTAGCTAAGGAAAGTCCCAAGATGACAGCTTTGCAACAGGCATAAAGAAAAAACAATCCAGACTAAAGCAGGAAATAGGACAACTACAGAAAGGATGACTACAGGAACAAATGAAACAGTTAAGTTTATCTGACAGATTTGACCACGTGGAAAATTGTATTGAGAAGCATTTTATGGAGCTGCTAGAGGGTATAGAAAGAATTTGCCAGACAAAACTAAGCAAATGAAAACAATGCGGCAAGAAAAACAAATGGTTACACAAGGAAGTAAAATTTTAAACTATTATCTCGGTGACAAACAGTTGGGCATAATGATAAAACCTCTGCATATAAATTCAACGTAAAATTGTGGAATAGTGAAATTAGAAATTACTTCAAAAAATCTTAGAACATCTATTCCTTTAAAATCACTGGTGTTTACATACCCCAAATTACTCAGTTCTAAGAAAAGCCTCTATTTTCATAAGAGTTAATTCTGCAACTACACTTTCAAGGCAAAAATTCTGTGAAATGCTTCAGGTTTTGTCTAAGAAAAAAAGTAAGTTAATAAATGCAAAGCAAAAACTAGAAGACATGCAAATTTTATAAGTTAAGGCACTTTGTATGTGTAATGATTTTTTTTCTGTTGTTTGCTGTCATTCTTAGTATACCTCCACTTTTACTTTCCATATTCACCAATTCAATGATTTATTCAGTCTCAAAGGAAAGTGGGTTGGGAAGTCATCAATAGATTACCTTTCTTAGCACCAAAACTAGCTATTATTTCCTAGTTTTAAAATTTTTAAATATTTTGCATTTTTTCTCTTTATAAGAAATAAATTTGGGCCTCCCCGGTGGCACAGCGGTTGAGCGCTGGGTTGCGAAGCTGCCTGCTGCCTCTGCAGCGCCGGTTCGATCCCCGGCTGCTCCCCGGCCACCAGAGGAGGGTCCCACATGGCGCGCAGACCTCTCCTGCTGCCTGCTGCTCCCCTCAGCAGTGTACTTCGGTCCCTCTGCCTGCTCTGCTCCCTGCTCTGGCTCTGGTGAATTCTCTCACCCTCCCACGCTTCTGACTGTACCCAGTGCATGTATAAACAAACAAACAAACAAATAAATAAATAAAACATGCCTCTATTAAAAAAAAAAAAAAGACAGAAATTTAACCTTCATATAGTGACAACTGTCATGGAAGGCAGTTACAGCACTATGACTAAATGGCCTCTCAGAGTTCAGGTAAGGAAGGCATCAGCTCTTACACTAAATAAGTCTAAACTAGTATGTTTTATAATTCTCTTGTTCATGATTCTTTTTTTTTTTTCTTTTTTTTTTTTTTTTTTTTTTTTTTTTTTTTTTTTTTTTTTTTTTTTTTTTTTCCGTGGGATCCTCGCCGGTGGCCGGGGAACGAACCAGCACTGCAGAGGCTGCGGGCAGCCTCGCAGCCCAGCGCTCAACCGCTGCGCCACCAGGGGAGGCCCATTGCTCATGATTCTTAACTTTCAAATCTACCATCAAAGATACTTCTATCTGGATTGACCCATCTTTTAATTTATTATGGGATTTAAAAAAGAGTCATCACAGTTCTAATTCAACATTTGCTGAATGTTATGCCAAATTCCTTCATATACATACTTTTATTTACTCCAAGTAATTTGTTAGTAATTTGTTCAATGTAAAGAGCAGTTCTAACTAAAGACTTACATATTACAAATAAATGCAGTGGTATAACTGCTTAATGGAGTTGGGGAGGTAGATCTTTTCCGGTTTTGTCTTATGTTTTCTGAGGAAGGATTATTTTCCTTGCTTAGTAATTTTTTTTTATTCCAATTCAGATTATCCAATCAAGAGCTATGGAATAACTGAGGCGAGAGTCCTGAACTATGCCATGTGGTATCCTATTGTTGGGTGGAAAGGATGTCCTGAACAAACTCCACAAACAGGTTTTATGGACCCCCAACCCCACCCCAGACCAGAGATCCAAGACACCAAGGACTACAAAACATGGGGGTTGCCCTATAACACTACCAATTACCCAACTTAGAGCAACTCTAAAGGAAAGTATATACCTTAAAAAAAAAGACACTAGGTTACTAATTTACTAAAAATTTTATCAAAAGCCCAAAAAAATAATAACAGTACTTCAAACTAGGATTCTTATATTTATAATTATATACATAATAAAGGCATACATGTATTTTAGTATTTAAATGTCGCTGTTTCTTAAGAATCATGTTACTTGATTAAAACAGAACCTCAATTCAGCTAAATATGAACTCCAAAAGGATATACTTCCCAAATTAAGAAGGATTTTCATGATTAAATTTACCAGAGACTCTTTTTAGTTTCTCCTAAATAAAACAGCATTTCTGTCAAAAGAGAAAAATCCTACAATAGTGCAAATTATCTAACCACTACTCAAAAAACCCACATTAGATTTACATCTTAATGTAAAAGTTATCATTGTTTATAGTCGAGTTTAATAATGTAAGCTGTGCTTTCAAAAGAAGCATTCTGAACGTAGTTTTAAATTTCACTTTAATAGTCATTTCGCTTTAAAGGCCATCTATGTGCTACATAAAGCTAAAATTGTTAAAGAATGCTTATTTATTTTCAGCCATTCCACTGCAGTTAAAGTTATATTATACTCAAACTCACTTCCTCAAAAAAATTAGAAGAGCAAATGCACCATTCAGACATCACAAATAAGACTGATTCCTAGCTGTAAATGGACTTTCGAACACTTAAAACTTTTAGATGTAGCCATTAAAACAAAACAGCTTTTTAACCACTTAAAATTTCAGAGTAAAGGTAGTGTAAATTTCAAGCTCAAAACCACTTTCCTAAAAGCAACACTCTCCAAAACTGACAGATCTTTTACCTTGCACCAAAGTACCTGATGGGTGTGCTTAGATGTCAAAGCTTCGCTACAGGCATAATGAGGAGGAAGAAGTAAGTAACAACGTTGCTACATACTCCCTATGTAGCATATTTTTTAAATTGTGAAAATCCAAATAGAGAACTTTCTAGATCTACGCTATGATTAGATCAGCAATGTTGAATGCTTGACATTTCCTTTTTCCTTTAAAAAAAATACTTTCACAATACTGACTTATCAATGCATATTTATAATAAAGACCATAAGTGCTGTAAGCTTTTGATCACACAAAGATCTAATTTTCAACCAGTCTTTTGGTCAGATCATTGTGTATCAATAGCTAACTGGATAGGACCAGCTATTTTAAAGAAATGCTTTCTAAAAATTAAATTAGCCTACATTTTAAAACTGTCCAGCGCTGCGATGGTGGTGGTGGTGGTGGAGAAGGATTAAAAATAAAACCGTCTAGCTGTATCTGAAAAGGAGATTGAATAATTTGCCTTTTTCAGATGATAAAACACTTGCTCTGGGGGGGAAAAAAAAACTCGTCAACGCTCCTGATTTTATCATTTGCTGCAAGAAAAAAAGAATATGGCTGAAAATTCTCTCTGAAGGGTGGTATTTCAAACAGGACCACTCAAGAACACTTAATATAAAGAGGAGAGGCGGGTGGAGGAGGCACCTTATGAAACAGCACACTTCGGGCCCTGCAAACTACCCTCATTTCCCTAATAGGGATGAAAAGCTCAGGCCTCTGGTAGTTTCCAACTGACGCCAATGCTCTCCACACACACCCCCTTTTTTTTTTTTTTGACAGCATTTTCTGGCGTTGGAGGTTGTGTCACAAATATGAATTCCGCGATCCCGTAAAAACCTTCAAACAACCAAGCATCAAACCTCCCCTCGCGCGCTGCAGCCAAACACACCTAATCGGGCCCTCAAGCCCCAATTCTGTAAATCCTCCGGCGCATTCATGGGGACGCGGAAACACTGCAGAAAATAAGGTTTCGACCCTTCCCCTCTCTGCCACCGAAATTACAGGTTCGCTTCCCTTCCCCACCGCGAAGCCTCCCGCCCAGAGCCCGACGCCTCCGGGCAGGCGCGCGCGGCCCCGCGGCGGCCCCCGGCCCCCTCCCCTGCCCGGCCCGGCCCGGCCCCGCGCCCACCTCGAGGCAGCGGCTTCACGTCCCCGTTCTCCTCGCGGGCGGCCCCGCCGGCCTCGCCCGCCCCGCCGGCGCCGTGCCTCCGCCTCTCCTTCTCGCGCTTCTCCTTGGGTCTGCGCGGCTTGGCGCCGGCCGCGGCCGCCGGCTGCTGGGGCTGGTGGGGCTGAGCGCGCAGCGGCGTAGGAGGGACCAGCAGTTTGCGCGGCAGCGGCTGAGGCGAGGAAGCGGAGGCTGCGGAGGGGACCGCAGAGCCAGCGGAGAAAGAGAAACTGCTCCGAGCCGAGGACGGCGACGGGGCGGCAGCCAGAGCCGCGAAGCTCCAAGACGCGGGGCTGCCATAGCTCTGAGGCGAGGGTGCCGCGGGCGGCTGCCTGCTGTTCCCGCCGCTGCCCCCTTCTCCGTTCAGTCTCCGCGGGGCCTTCTTCTCCTCAGTCCGGACCTTCTTGGCGGACAGAGGGCCCGGCGGGTCCCGGGAAGGGGGCTGCAGCTTGCCAAATGGGTCTTTCTCCGAGGCGGCGGCGGCGGGAGCGGTAGCGGGACCGTGCATTGGGCTCGGCGGTTCCGCCATTTTGCGCTCCTGTTGTATTTACTCTCCTCCGCGCCCGGGCGCGGGGAGGGGCGGGCCCTCGGGGGGCGGGGCGAGGGCGGGGCGGTCGGGCTGCCGGCCGGGCCCTCCATTGGGCGAGCCACGCTGAGGGATCTCTCCAAGAGCCAATCAAAGGTGCGAAAGTTGAACTCTAGGAGTGGGATCGCCGAGCAGAACCGCTTTGGAGGTCACTGCTCCGCGGGGCGCGGTTAGGGGGTCTAGCGAGCTTGAGGGTTTGGGTGGGGGAGGTGTGCGAGGTGTCGCCGGCTTGAACCCGGGTGCCCGGTGAAGTGTCCGAGAGCAATTCTCACTCCGGACCCCAAAATCTGCTCCGGCCCGGGTTGCGCTCTTCGCAGCCTTGACGACTTTTTCTTGTATCACTTTCTCTTTTTTTCCTGGGGTTCTGTCCTCCCTCCCAGTCTCCTCAACCTCAGAAAGTTTAATTTCAGGAATGCACAGCCCTAGAGAAAATGTTGCCGGGAATTAAGTCTTTTCTTATGTTAAGCAGTGGTAAGATGAAGTGAGGGGCTAAAAAAAAAAAAGTCACTTTGGTGCCCTAACAAGATTTGTAACTGTTGCTAAAATCGTCAGCTCTAATGCTTTGAGTGAGATCACTTCCAGCTGACCTAGAATTTCAGATTACTTCCGAACTTGAAGGTAAGACTCCCTGGAGAATTTTTTTTTCGACTTTTGTGATTGGACTGTTAAAAATTTTTAATTTTATTGTAATTATTGTAACTCATAGTGCTAACAAAAATCTGTTAGTGGTATTTGTTACGTTTGAAAAGCCAAGTTTTTTAAAATAAGTTTCTGTATTTTATCGTTTAGTTAGTACCCTAAGTGTTGATGTTTTGTAAGTGAATTATTTGATTTATAGTTTAAAAGATAAAGAATTTGGGGTACGGGGTTACAGTAATGTGGTTGTAAGGAAAACGAGGAGCACGATTTTAATTAAACTCTAAGACCTCATAGGAAAATCAAAATGTCAAAGAAATGGGGGGGAGGGGGAAGGAGAGATGGGGGAGATCCTAAAAGGAGGCTGTAAATTTCTGGAAACAGTTAAATGTAACTTTTCAGGATTACCTATTATGGCCCCAGGAATTCTTTTTTTTTGTTTTCCTTTTTTATTAATTTATTCTTAGAGTATTTTATTTATTTTTTAAAGATTTATTTATGCATACAGAACGGGGTACAGGTCAGAGGTGTGGGGGGGTGGGGGAGTTGAGGGGATTCACCAGAGACAGAGTGGGGAACAGAATGGGCAGACTGACTGAAATACACTGCTGAGGGGAGCAGCGGGCAGGCAAGACAGGAAAGGTTTGCTGCACCATGTGGGTTACTCCCTGGCCGGGATGGAACTCCTGCCTGCAGTGGCTGCGGATAGCTTCATAGGTTGTGTCTTAAACCCTTGGGCCACTAGGGAGGCCCAAAAAAGTAACTTTGAGAGTGGACAGAGGATAAGACCTGAATTTATCTGCTACTCACTGCCTTTATGACCTTAGTCAGGGTGTTTCATCTGTCAGAACCTCTATTTTATTTGTTACGTGAGTAAATTTGTTTATTACATGATCATTGAAAGCCCCTCCACACTCTAAAAATTTCTCCCATATTCAAGAAGGTTTTCAAAATCACACTGAAGCCATCACAGTTCTGTCCAGATTTAGAAGTGTCTTACATACGTTAATGAACTCTTGCACCATTTATTCCCTCATTCCCCACACTGAAGTCTGCAAAATCGGACTAAGAGCCCAGGTAAAGTGTACTGTCACCTGTGTGAATTTGGTTCTCCTTCTACTACACTCCTTTGTTCCACACCTCTTATCATGCCTAACATTAAATTTGAACAGCCTCGGCAAGAGTGTTGCTACAGAGGCTCACATACCTTGTGCCTAAATATTTAAGTTATAAATCAAGATAATACACTTTTTTTTTTTTAAGATTTATTTTTTTATTTATTTATACAAGCACGGGGCACAGTCAGAAGCACGGGAGGGCGAGAGAATCCACCAGAGCCAGAGTGGGGAGCAGAGCAGGCAGAAGGACCAAAGTACACTGCTGAGGGGAGCAGCGGGCGGCAGGAGAGGTCTGCGCGCCATGTGGGACCCTCCTCCGGTGGCCGGGGAGCAGCCGTGGATCGAACCGGCGCTGCAAAGGCCACGGGCAGCTTTGCAACCCAGCGTTCAACTGCTGCGCCACCGGAGGGCCCCCCAGGAGTCCCCCGATAATACACTATTATTTATTATTTGCCTTGACAAACCCACTTTCCTAATCTGGAAGATTGGTTTAACTTTAGAATCCTCAGATTCCTGGAGTCCTCAGACCAACCCCATTCTCTTTCCATTTCCAGTTCCTTCACCCACCCCACAAAAGGGACCAAATGTGTACACATGTCCAAGCTCATGTCCTGTACCCCTCACTTCCCGCAAATAATGTGTGATCAGCAGTTCAGTGTGTCCTCAGATCTAGCCAGTCTGAAAAAGGAATTTTAGACTCCTAGTAGACAATGCCTCTTGACCTTATGAACTCCTTGCCTTTTGCTGCCGGGTCTAGGGACAGTGCTTCTATAAGACATGCTCACTTATCTCTTCAGCTATTCTTTTTTTTTAATTTTTAAACTTAATTTTACTTATTTATTTTTAATTTATTTACACAAGCACTGGGTACAGTCAGAAGCGCAGGAGGGTGAGAGAATTCACCAGAGCCAGAGGGTAGATCAGAGCAGGCAGACTGACAAGTACACTGCTGAGGGGAGCAGAAGGCAGCAGGAGAGGTCTGCGCGTCATGTGGGACCCTCGCCTGGTGGCCGGGGATACAAACGCTGCAGAGGCTGCGGGCAGCTTCGCAACCCAGCACTCAACCGCTGTGCCACCGGGGAGGCCCATCTCTTCAGCTATTCTCTTTCAACTATTGATACACTGAATTAAGAGAGAATGCCCATTATTATCACCAATCCCTATTGGTTTACATTTTACTACATGAAAACCACCCATTTCTCTCCACAGCACCACTCCTTTCACCTGAATGACTCCATTAGCCTTTTTTTGGTATCCTTGTTCAGTTGACCCTTGAACAACAAGGGTTAGAACTGCCAGGTCCACTTATACATAGACCTGCATTCACCAGTGTAGTGAAGCATGAATGTGGAAGCCACATATATGGAGGACCTTCCATAAGTTGTTACATGTGGATTTGCTGCTGCGGTGGTGGTACTAGATTGGCACTTCTAAGGCTCAGGTTGTTCAAGGATCTATTATACTCTAGTTTTCTCAAATCTGTTCTCTACCCAGAAATGTTCTTTTCAAAACCTAAAATGATCATGTTCCTTTCCTTGATTTTGATCTGTCAATCTTTTCCACTTCTTTTAGAATAAAAACAAAATCTGTAAACAGAACCCTTCATGACTTATCACCTTCGTCTTCCATATCAAAGTAAAATGTCTTTAACTTCCAGAATACACCAGTCTGTCTTTCAAAATAAGACTATTACATCTGTTTTTCAATTGCCATAACTTTTCTTCAAATCATATACTATTAGGAAAATTTTGAAATTCTGAAATTAGGTTTACATTTTACACAGCAGATTGTTTTAATCTCCAATTTATATTATTCACTTATTATGATTACTGTTATTTGAAAACAAAAATTATAATGATACTTAGGTAACTTCTGTATGCTTTTTCACAATTCTTAAAAAGTAAAGGTGTGTTGTTAAGAGATTTTACTACAAGGCCTCCCTGGTGGCACAGGGGTTAAAGACACAGTGCTATCAAGCTATCACCAGTCACAGCAGAACCAGTTTGATCCCTTGCCAGGGAGCTAACTCACATGGCGCAGCAGACCTCTCCTGTCTCGCCTGCTGCTCCCCTCAGCAGTGTATTTCAGTACATCTGCCTTTTCTGCTCCCTACTCTGTCTCTGGTGAATCCTCTCACCCACCCCCGCCCCGCACCTCTGGCCTACACCCCATTTCTTGTTGTATGCATAAAATACATAAATCTTAAAAAAAGATTTTATTACACGTATAGATACAAAGGTAGGAAAAGTAGTTTCAAATACTATTATACAAAATAAAGCCAGTGAAAGTTTAAAACAGTGGTTATTATGGGAGGAATCAGGCCAATACAACGCCATTCTTAAAAAGGAAAACGTGAGGGCTTCCCCGGTGGTGCAGCGGTTGAGCGCTGGGTTGCTAAGCTTCCCGTGGCCTCTGCAGCGCCGGTTCGATCCCCGGCTGCTCCCCGGCCACTGGAGGAGGGTCCCGCATGGCGCGCAGACCTCTCCTGCTGCCCGCTGCTCCCCTCAGCAGTGTACTTCAGTCCTTCTGCCTGCTCTGCTCCCCGCTCTGGCTCTGGTGGGTTCTCTCGCCCTCCCGTGCTTCTGACTGTACCCAGTGCTTGTATGTATGTATGTATAAATCAATCAATCAATAAATCTTTAAAAAAAAAAAAGGAAAACCTGAAAATGAAATATTTTTGGAGTTAAAGTAAGCCTTTCCTTAATTTCAAGAACCATATTTAAATATTTACTTTATGCCCAATGCCATTTTAGTCATTGAAATATAAAAATGTATAAAATACAGTCCCTACTCAATGGGTTTGTAGTCTAGTGACATGTTAAGTTGAACTAGAGGAAGTTGCATTATCAAAAATGGTAAAACATCAGCTAAGCCTCACATACATATGTAAATAGAAATTTGAATAATAGATTATGAAAGATGCTACATGCGCTGAGAAAGTGGCTCATGCTGCCTGGACCCATCAGTGATAGCTTACAAAGAGAGAGGACATTTTAGCTGAATTTCAGAAAATGATTGGGAGTTTACTATGTATTCATAGGAAACAAAGTTAATAGAGGGTATTCCTTAAGTAGGAAGTAGCATGTGCAGACCCAAAAAGCATGTGGACCTACAGAGTCTAGCACATGGGGGAAACTGCAAATATTACAGCTGGTTGGAATGCTGGATATATTGGGGATGACAGGAGATGAGGCAGGCAAAGTAAG